AGACCTTTCAAAGCAATATACTCGCTTCCGAAAGGCTGTCACCTTGAACTAGCGCGAGGCAATTCCATTATGGAGACTGGGAACCAGTAACTTCCATGGAACGACAGGAACAACCTTCGGACAAGGGAAATCTACTGTAACAAAGATATGTGAAAACTTCATGGAAGCATTATAATACGCCACAAATATGATTTTATTCGGTTCCCAGATGATCCCCTTGATGCTGCACAAGCAATGAGAAGGGTGGAAAGTATAGCTGGATTTCCAAATGTTGTTGGAGCAATAGATGGTTCCCACATCACCATAAAAGCACTTCAGGTTAACCGTGAAGACTATTTCAACGGGAAACAAAACTATTCAATTAATTTGCAAGGAGTAGTCGATGCTGCTGATAAATTCATAGACGTCAGCACAGGATGACCTGGTAGTATTCACGATGCCAGAATCTCGCGACTCAGTACACTGTACCTAAGGGCCGGAAACAACCTTATTTGACTGAGCCAGTGAAACGCATTAATGGAGTAGCGGTGCGCCCCCTCCTGATCTGCTTACCCCTCACTACCCTGGCTGGTTAGTACTTATTCCCATTTTCGTAACCTTAATCGATATCAGGCCAAATTCGATAAGATTTTAAGCAAGAGCGGGATAACAATAGAAAGGGCATTTGGCAATCTGAAGTGTCGTTGGAGGTGCCTACTAAAGCCGCCTGAAGAAAAACACACCAGAAGTTTCACATACTATCCTGACCTGTGTTACGGTATAATCTACCCGACCGAAAAACACAACAGTCCCACAAACTCAACTACTTTATTAAACAGCGAGTAATGTTTTTAACAAGAAGTGACTCCTTGAAGCAGTACAGTAATTGTCGTTAATAAACGTAATTAAGCCCACACAGTTTATATCCAAGCTCACCACTAACACAATCTCACTGCTGTCTCCAAAGTTCCTCGAAATGAGCAATCATCCCCTGTAGCTCATACTCGGTATAGCTTTTAAAACAGTCGTCCCTCCGACGACAACAACCACCACTACTATATAAGCGAGTCTTTATATATATTCACAAAGTGTTCTGGAACACTCCAGACGCTTACATAAGAACTATTTTAGTAGAATTACCTAGTAAATGTGTGACTTGATAAAATGTTCTGGAAAGTTCTATGGTATGCAAGTTAGCATGACTCAGCAGTCAGGAAATTTCTAGAAGCTTATTTTTACAACAATTACTCGTAACACTTGTTATATATATTTACACAACATTTGCGTTTTACGGGGCGACGAGGTCGAAGATGACGATAGTTTCGATGATGAAAATGATAATGATGACGATGATGACAGCGATCGGTTTGCACTCGGGCAGGGACGAATTGTGCAGCAAGCTCTAACAACGTTTCTCGCTGATTAAACTCGTTTTGACAGTGAGGTCTAAATTTTGTTGAGGGATTCCAACCCTTGTTTCTTTAAATGAAACTTTATCTTTTGGGCACGACCGAGGCAAAATTAACAGAACCCGAACCTCAATTGTCTCTGCAATATTTATTGTCATTTTATAAAACTAATCATGAAAAATCTAGAATTAAAGATTACAATTATTCGACTCGCGCATTTGTGTTACATCACATATGTATCATGTTTTTTTTCTTCTTGTAAAAATTAAAATGATATTGCCCACACTTTTGAGCATTAAATTTCAAATATTAAAACGGCTAAAAATGTAACAGAAATATCTATTTTGATGAATTCTAGTTAACTTCCTTTATAATATTTACATTCATCAAACATTACTGCCATTATACATGTTCATATACTTGTGATTATTTTCCATTTCTGCTTATTTATTCAGTCGTAGGAATAAACTGTCACAAAAATGTAACTGCAACCGTTGTGATAAAAAGTGAAAAAAAAATGTTGTGAACAAGAAGAAAAAAATTGTTAAGCTTTTATTTATTTAGGATTGCACCTAACTCCCGTATTGCACTGAGCACCAGTTCCTCGGTACGGTTGTTAGACTCCCTTAAATACTGAAACAGTTCTCTTTTTTCTTCTTCTGCTCTTTTTGCAGCTTCCGTCTGCGTCTTGATTAGCTTCTTTAACATTTCTTCTTCCTTGCTTTGTTCGTCTTTTTTTTTACTCAGATTCGACTTCTTTCTTCGAAACTGGCTTTTTCTTTTCCTTGAAAAATAGCCGTTCTGCTCGTTTAATGTCCTGGTCATCTGTTGAGACATCGTCATCGTCATCCGCTCTAGTGCTTCTTCAGTTTTTCCCGGGTTCCCAACTGGTTCTTTTCCTTTTTTCCGCTGGCCCCCACTTTTATCTAGTGCCTGCTTCAGGGGTAAATCTTCATCTATTTCCGTCTCATCAATACTACTTGCCGATATGTTAACTGCACTTTGGCCAGCCAAAGAGGAACTCGGGCTCCGAGCGGGAGTAGCTGGTGTGCGGGACATCCCTGCGGCATACCTCTATGACGTACTTGGGATTTACTGAGTCTCTTGTCCCAGATGTCATTTAGATCGTTGAATTCTGGAAATGATTTAATGTCCTTGCTGCCCTCTACTGTTAGTTTACTTTTATCCTTGACCGTTTTGTACTTTTTGCTCAGGTTGTTTATTTTATTGCGTCAATTTTTCGTCGACTTATCGCAGACAAAATCATCGATTTCTTTGCTATCGGCGACAAGTCGTTCTGCCATCCTGTCCCACATGGCCTCTAGACTTTTTCTCTTGTCTCGTTTGGGGAACTGCAATTCGAAGTTTAACCTCTCCTACAGTCCAACGAACGCGTGATTGCTCTGACCTACTGGATTTTTTGGAACTTTCTCCGAAATTTATCGGCTCCACGATCTGGGCAAAACATCTGTTTCGGGGCAACGTAGCCGAGATAAATTCCGGAAAAATACTGTTTTCGTGTCTTTCGTAAAGGTAGGGACCGCGTTCTAGTGGTTCTCGAGCTTCTACAAGCCCAGCTGGTGGAATTGTGAAACGTCGATATGGAAAGCTGAAATAAAGATTTAAGAAGCGAAGAATTTCTATCGCTTACAACGCCTACCGTTGGCTTACTGCATTTATGCAAATTATGAGCAGGTTAAATTTGGGGAAAGGCTGTAATTTGAGTAGAAACAATTTTTAAGAGCTAATGTCAGCATTCATCAAACAAACAGCGGCAAGTCACCCAAATTTGTTTTCTCTCCTACTTTCATATTTAGTAGCCCAATATGTTCTGATAATTGTGGTGTAGTTTTTTTGTAAAAATTTATTTTAGTTTTCGAGAAATAATTTTTTTCGTTCGACCGCTCAAATATGCAAATTTTCACCGTGAATATTTCCAGAGTCGTGTGACCTCATGAAACGAATGTACTGGACATACGGTATTTCTGTGAATATAATCCTTTGTTTTATCACCAAAACTTAATCCCCTGTCGTTATTGAAGCTGGCAAAGAAATATTTATTTTTTGGTGAATACTTTTGTCCGACATACTTTTCCTATGTCGAAAAGTAGCATCAAAACAAAGACAGTTTTAACAATGACCGATATGACACAATCTACTGAGCTTCAAGTTTTTAAAAGACCAAAGGATGGTTATGGTTTTGAAGGTCTGAAGTGTATTGAAAAAGATCATTGAAATACCAATACTATCCAGTGAGGCCTTTTTGCTGTTTGATGTAAGGAAACTGATATCCGCCATCTTTAATTAATAAAGTGGATTACACTTCGTGAGTCCCTTTCATGAGGCTTTATATGTTCTTTCTGCGTAGCTCAGATGTATTTCAAGCGCACGAGCGATATTAATCGATTGTATGGTAAGATATGAACGTCATTTAATGAACTATCAATTTAGATAACTTAGTTTTGCTTCCTTTACCTTAGTTTCCTACATGGAGCGAAGTAACTTATGTTGGGAGCGAAATCAGATCTTTCTCACCAGACCATCACTCTGATTTGGAAAAGCTTCCGAGATACGCCCAAGCGGCCAGGAACTTCTATGTGTTTTCTTATGCAACAAGAGCGCGACGTTGCCAACTGCAAATTGCGGGTAGCATGGTTCCATTTCTGCCTTTGTTGGAGTGAGGGAAGGTACGCCCGAATCCACCGTCGCCAGAACACGTCAGCCAGGTATTGCACGTGAAACTCAAGTGCCTTCAAATAAACTGCAACATAAGTAAAAGTTCACTGCGGCAAAATGTAAGGTAAGCAGCCTTCTCTGTCGTAGACTCGCCTTCAAAGCCTTACAGTTACCTCACCTCCACTATCACATCATCAGAGAAAATGAATCTACTTTAGCATATGCCGTTCTCAGTCTGCGACTAACGCAACAAACAAGCTATCCCAATTCTGGCTCGACTCCACTGCCACTTTAGAAGCTGCTGCATCAACTGTCGTTGGCTCCATATCGCAGACTTCCATCGAAGCAGTCCCACGACCGCCTTTTCGATTTCCGGTTTCAACTCCGTCACTTCAACGGTAGATACAACCCAATCCGACCTGCAGTCTCCAACCGCAGCGACAGCAACAGGCTTGGCATTCTGATTGGTCACCCTATCATTACGAGAGATGCATTTTTTAAGCTAAAAAGCTGAAAAAAGTGCTACAGGTGAAACCAGGAATTTGCTGTTGAGTCCCACAAGGAACCATTCAGCGTGGTCATCCGACATGCTGACAGGTAATGCAGCCCAGAGTTAACGTATACGTATTAGCACTGTGATATAAGCCACATCGCGCGCCCCCTAGTATACCCCTCCCCCCCCCCGGGTAAGCGGGTTACCTCACCTACCTGGGGTCCCCCACCTCCATGTAAACAGGCCCTGAGCAAAGCCGCGTATTTCTTGAATCGTAAGAATGGATGTAAGACGTCCTTGACGAGATTGTGCCAAATTTAAAAATGAGGGAGTCACAGAGGTAGTACAGGACATTTTACCGACTGATTGTCACAAAGTGATATTAACCAAAAGCACACAACGTCGAAGAATCCAGAGATGAATCATTTTATTTAATAATCTATCTCCTTGACTGTTGTACAAAACTTTTACTTTTAATGTCTTCAAGACAAGCTGTTTTTACGATTCTAGTAACCACGTACTTAAGCATCATTTGACGCGTTTGGGATTCTGTAGTAATAGCTACCATTACAGAAGTTGCGTGACACATATCAATGTCTACCGACGCAAGGATTGCGTAACCCATCCTGCGCTAACCTAACGAGTGACACAAAAGTGCAGCTTTGACAAAAGGGTGTAAATTCGTAGAAAAATCCCAACTAGAAAAATATTTGGAACATTTCATCTGTTACACTATAGACGAACACTACTGGTTCTTTCTTGGATACTTTAAGGTCCCGAATGTCGTCGCAAACGCGCCCAAGGTATTTCTTGTAATGTGGGGTTTTATCCGCAATGGTCGCAACGCTAGCATCAAATGCGTCCTGACTTGCATCCAGATCAAGCATTGCTGACATGTTGCACAAAACAGTACCAGGCAGGTCAACCTGAGAGAAAAAGAAACAGGTGAGGGAAAGTAACCATATATCATTGCGAGGCGTTTTTTAGTAGCATCTTTTGAGCTCTTCAGAGTTGAATTTTCTAAAACGACGTCTACCTTTACATTGACAAAACGTCAAAACATTTACATTCTTTTTTTTTGTGACAAATTATTTTCAAATTTGGTGTCCCTGTTGTAATCACCTCTAGCAAGGTGATTACAGCGAAATGTGTAGTAATTTGACCAATCAGAGTTTAAGAACAACAAGAACAAAAAACAATGTAACATGGTTTTATCAAATGAGTTGATAAAGTAAAGTAGCTATCGAAAGACTCTATAGGATTTTCAACAGCTTTAGAAATTCTTCATTATTCAACTCAGTTGATAAATCAGTTGTACCCCCCCCCCCAACCCATCCCCACCCCCCCGCCGATGCTGCACCGTAGTTTCTTACAAACTTACCTCCTTCTTAAAAACAGCTCATGTTTGGGATGTCACGCCATGCTCGCTTTGAAAGAGCGTTGCGTGACATCCAAAACATTGGCTGCGATGTAAACCACACGTCACACAGCACAGCATATAATAGGAGTACCGTTCCCAACCGTAAATCCAACGTAAAAGTACAATTTAAAGTCAAACATTAAATCAACTCTTAAAACGACAAACTCCCCAGACTCACCGCAATAACTTCCACGGCATTCTTAGAACTGATGTGAGTCAGAAGAGGTTTAATCTTGGACATCATCAAGCTTTCGTATCTCCGCTTTGTGTTCCACGCCCACTTCTCCTGGGTGTTAAATGAGACCTTTATTTCTGGAACAACTGTGGGACTCGTCTCATTACCGCTCTGCGTGTTGGCCCCTTTATTACCCAACGGCGCGGAGGACTCAGTCGGTTCAGGCCTTGTAGAGAACTTCGCTTGAAGATGGGCCACAAGTTCAACTCTCTTTACGCGAGACTCCGAGAGCTTTTCTTTGTCAGAAGATCGCACCTGCGAGATAAATGACTTAACAGTGACTAAAGGCAATTTGCAAACATTAACAGAATATGGAAGGAAGGACAAGCTTATTGACAAACTATGTATGAAAACGAAATGCGACAATTTTTTTCCAATTCACTTACTCTCACATATCCAACTTCCTGCTCTTTCAACACCACCATATGTTGAATTCCACTTTTTTACAAAACTCCTGTTGCTCTTCCAGAGAAACCATGTCTTTTGAATCATAACAGATATTTGCTTTGATGCCACATTCCCACAAATCGTGTGCAATACGCATGCGCTCGGTCTGCATTGGGTTACGCCCAACTGAACAAACCATAACATCATAAGGACACAGATTAGTAACGTCTTCTTCTTCCAAAACAGCGGCTACAATTTTTTCAATCGCGATACTGACACCCACCGCTCCAGGGTTGGGATGAGAAGCTTCTCCTCCCCGGCGGAAATAGTTTATTAGCTCGTCGTATCGTCCTCCAGCGGCCAGAATATCAACGCCCCCTCGCTTCCGTTTCCGCTTGTTTGCGGCTACAAACTGGAAAATCAAACCTGAGAAATGCTGGTAGTTATACACCATAGACGTCTTGACTTTCACGGGAAGATCAATCTTGAATGTTTCAGCATGCTGCGTAATCGCTTTCAGATCGTGTAGAATTTGTCGCGCAGACTGGCCAACCGAAGATTCTCGCTTCATGGTACCAATCAGATGCTCGCGTAATTTATTTACAGGGCCTTCGAAGTTAAGGAACTCGCAAAGCGCCGTCGCTGCGTGATCGCTTAACTGCAAGCTCTCAACAAACAAATTGATCTGAACATCTCGGTCCCTCTCGCTGCGAATTTCCTTCAGAATTGCTATCAATTCGGCCTGTCGCTCATTCGATATACCTATAGAAGTCAGGTAACACGTCAAAAGACGTGCATGATTCATCCTGATGTAATAATTACGGGAACCAAGCGAAGGAAACTCGTTTATTATCTCAAATACCGCCAATAAAACCTCGGCGTCGGGCACAAGGTCTTCCGGCGAGCTTGTGACGATATCAAATACACAGTCGTAAAGTTCCTTGGGGTGGGCGCCCAGAATCTTCGTGTCACGATACACGCATCCGATGTCAAACCTTTTCATGTTCATGACCCCATTTCGCGCGATATAACGCGCAAACGGTATCCTGAGATCGAAAGGGAGCGTGACAAGCGTGCCACTGTGGTCCATAACGCTAACAGCTAATTCCAGCTGTTCAAATAACTGCGTGCGAGGGGCAAGAAGTGACGTTCTTAACCGTAACGCGCCGTGTCTCAAAAACACGGATTTTACGCTTTCGTGAACCATCTGCTGCACGAGGATAGCATGTGGTGAAACCTGTCCCGTGTAAACGTCAACATCGTAAGTTATGTCTTGAACTGAAGAAACCTTCTGCGAGAACATGGCCTTCATCATACGCTGGTAGCGAGTAGAGTTCGTAGACGCGAGCGTATGTTTGAGCACTTCGTCCAACTGACCATCTTCAATCTTAGGCGGGACATACTGGCTTTGAAGTAGTTCTTGTGAGGAAGGGCGTTCCTCAGGGGTATGTTTGAGGAGCCACTTGAGGACGATCATTTGTTTGGCGAGGCCCTTGTGGTCAAAATCAGTTGGGAAGATGATTCCTTCCTAATAAGGAAACAAATAGGACACCGAAAGAGTTGATGAAAAGCAAAATTAATGCTCGAGAATAAAAAGACCTACGACTTTGTCTTGATTACAAACTTGGAATGTTGTTCAGTATAATTACTTCCTTTTTAATTTAGGCTCAGGAAAGTGAATTTAAAACACGATGAGTAGCCTATTCACGCTGAAACCTTTGAAAGTAGATCAAATGAACTCCCTTTAGACTGTTTTCATCTTCCCTTGTGGACTAGAAAATTACAACTTTCTTCCGTTTTTATATGATTGTAGCGCTCGGGTAAACATGCACTTACCGTTCGTAGATTTCCCAAAACTTTAACCCTTTCCATAGAGGTTGTTAAAGGCTTGTAACACATCTCAAAGAAGATAATCCCCAAACTATACAAGTCAACCTTTTGACTGTACTTCACTCGGCCGCCAGACCGTTTTCCCAACTCCGGAGCGACGTAAAGCGTCGTACCAACTTTGCCTGTCATACTCTTTTTAGTGCTTGAGTTCATCTTGAGAGACTGGCCATTAGTAATTGAATCTGGGCCGTCAGTGTCCATGCCTCCGCGCGTCATGCCATGCGTGGTTGCGAGGCCAAAGTCGCCTATTTTGATGCGGCCAAGAGAGTCTAGGAACAAGTTTACGGGCTTAAGATCCCGGTGAATAATGCCCTGTGCAGCAAAGAGAAAAAAGCGATAAAGAAAGCGTTATGTTCTCCGTTTTGCCCCCTACGTGGAACAGCGAAACATCTGACTCGCTCACGAGGAATCAAATCTAAGGCGTTTGGGTTCCACGTTCTGATCTGCTAGCACTGTTCTGAAAAGAACCCGAGGTTGACCTTCGCCATTGACACGTATATATATAGGACAATGAATTGAACATTGCTCTAACTTAGGAAATTCTACGCACATTACACCACGCATGTGACATATTGATTTAGGACCTGCGCATCACCTGAGTATGAATGTGTACCAGGCCCTCAACGATCTCTCTAAAAAGCCTCCAAATTCGCTCCTTATCTTTATGCAAGCCCTCGTCAATAAGGTTCCTTAAGGTGCTCATTTCACAGTACTCCATCTGGATGTACAGGTACTGCAGTCCTAAGTGTTCGGCACTGGACTCGCTTCCAGTCTCTTGCCATTCCACTCCTTCATCAGAATCTTCTGACTTAAAAAAAAAAGAAAAATAATAATAAATAAGGCCGGTATGTTTATTCCCGAAGGATCCCGTAACGTTGTAATCACGAGCCTCAGCTAATGTATTCTGTACTTGTAACAATTGCCCAAACGTATCCTGCAATGGACACTTTTAAATTTCACTGAGCCCCCAGTTTTTACTTTTTTCTTTTTTTAGTTAACTAATGAGAATTCAAAGCAGAGTAGACTGCAGGTGTATTTCAACTGAAATATGTTTTCATACCAGAGTTTGACATGGAGGCTCGACAAAAACATTTCCATTTTTTTTATCTGGAAAACCTAGGATAATTCTTAGCCACTTTCACATTTCTTGATTAACAAAGCCCCTCCAATTTCACGCTTAAAGCGACGGGTAGTCACCCTTACCAGACGGAACGACAAGGTTGCAGAAGTAAAGCCGCATCAGACTTCTCTCTTATTTAGCTGTTACTTGAAGGAAAAGCGCCACGACAATAATCCAATTTTTGTAATTATTATTTCGTTAAAGACCACCTTACCTCTGTATCTAACAGATCTCCAAACTGAAGAACCGACGCTTCCATCTTTCCTTTAAACACCACCCCTTCAGACGACTCAGACTTGCTATTAAAGAATGACACACTGTGACTCTTAGATGACGATAATTTACTTGGACTACGAATCGATTCCTGCGAATCACTTGAAGACGAATTTGATTCATTGCTCTTCCCTTTTCCGTCGTCAGGCCACCAAGATTCTTCTACGTCATTTCTACTTTCTCTCACACTTGGCGCTTCGATCTTATTGAATTTCATAAGACTTTCTTCAGATGAAACAGATGACGGCACGTCCTTGGGAGGTTTCCCGTCTGCAGTTTGAACCTTTTCCTGTTGCTGTTCCTCAGCGATTTCGATCCAGGAATAGTAATATCTACAGAAGGGAAAATGTAAATGTTAAGAAGGCAGCGTGAGCCACGAGTTCTAAGCTGGTCGGATGTCCCGCGTTCGAGTCTCGCCGTAAGCATCTATTAAATTTGTTTTTTAATGGTCCCGAGCCAGACTCTTCGACAATAGCCAACTAACGGCCAAGTGGTTTACCTGCTACATGATGGGTTCTTTTTACTATCATGCTAAATTTGATTTGGGTTATCTGTTGTCGATAATTAGAGTGGAATGCTGGTAGATTGGCTGGAGAGCTAAGCGTTCTCCCACTAAAATGCAGCTTTAATAGATTAATACATTACAGATTAGTTTATTATGAGTTGCGCTCCGTTTCCCTTTTAAAGCGCTGTATATTGCACATTGTCAAAATTTTCTTAACGACAACCACTTTACCAACTCAATGCGACTCTTCTGCCCACACTTGCAGTAGTTATTAGAACTTGTAAAACCACCCAGCTACAGACGTAAAAGAGGCACTTGCTTAAAAGAGGACCAAGCAAAATTCACCCACACTCAAAATGCCCTCCCGTAATCACATGGCTCGTTCTCCTTTCTAGGAATTTAAAAAAAAATTTAAATCCAGCCTGTATTGCGGTTGTACTAAACAATGAGTTAACTCAGTGGTATTTTTCCTACCATTCTCATTAGAAATTTTTTTAATTTCAAATCTTCTCCCTTGTGCAGATTCACTCTGTGTTTACATGTCTCACGAAAGTTTGTTGCGTATCTATACGCACGATTTGTGCGTAAACGCGAACTCCGCCTGTAATGATTTCATCAGGGAGTTTAAGAAAACCACGAAGGCAATGGCAACAGGAACGTCACTAAAAAAAAGGTTTCATGAGCAGAGCAGTGACTGTGCACCGACGTGCGTCATAAATCTTTGTAAATTTCTTTGCATTCTCTGCAAAACAGTAACATGAAATGACCAAACTCTTTGATGTCTGAAGAACGTGAACGACGACGGCTAATTTCTTAAATTTCTATTTATAATTTAAGGCTGCGTTCCATATTCATTTTCAAGATACTTTTGACAGTGAGAAACAAACTAAATGACTTTAGAGTATTGCGAGATTCGTAGGTAAAATATAAGTTCATTGTGTAATCGATGTTGTCCACGGCGTCGCCGTTGTCGTTTCTTAAACTCCCTTTTACATCCCCACTTAACGACGTTCTCGTGATTCAAACGGCTGATCAGCTGTACTTCACGCATGATCCTCTTGTTAAACTGAGTACTCTTTGGATTCAGAGGAATCCTCTCACAGCATAAAAGTAGTTTTCCAGCTTATTTCGTACCTGCAGAAAATAAAGAATACGTAAATGAAATAACAACAAATATTTAAACTGAATGGCGAATGAACTTCTTGGGTCTTTCTTTATTTCAGTAACGAGCTTAAAATTCAGCAACTTTCTTTTTCTATTTAACCACGCGGGGATTTCGACATTGCTCATCCCAGCAGTATGGCGATTGAGTATCACATATAAACTTAATGATCGCCCAGTCATCAGTAGAGTACAGCACTCTGAAGCGGAATCCGAAAGGTCTGTTGCTTGATTCCTCGTGGGGCCTCGGAATTTTTTCTTTGTCACAGGCTAGAGATAAGACACAAAAACAACAGATTCCTTCATGGCAAGATACTGTCGCTCTTTCTTTTTTAGCCAATAAACGTAGCTAATCAAGAAATTGGCACATGAAAAATGTATCTTTGCATGCTTTTTGTGTGTTCCCATCATACTAACACAACCATGTCTCCTATGAAAGGTACAGTCGATCCTGCCAATGGAAACCAAGCATTATTTAGATCTAGATTTTTACGGTGTTCTCGTTCTCGTCCTTGCAAGTTTAATTGATACTAAAAGCTCAAGTATACCTTGATGACATTTCCAAAACCTCCTTTTCCGAGAAACTGCAGCTCCTCATACTCGCATTTCACTCGGGATTTTCCGGGAACTCCCGAGAAGAATGAGAAGTTGGACATAGGCTCTTCGCGATCCGGTTGGTCAATCAGGTGCGATGGCCCATCATCCCCTGCGTTCCCATTGTTCTTCCCAACTTCCTGTTGGCCGTTCGCTAAACTACCGGATACGACTGGGGTTAAAAATGAATGTTCGCGTAACTGAGATGCGGACCAACGGTTTCTTTCTTCGGTCTTTAAGCAACTGTGAAGAAGAAGGATTGAAAAAAAGTACGTATTAAAAAAGATTAAAAAATTATAAAAAGTACGTACACATATTCTTGCATCAACTTTGTCACCACCATTTCTCAAAAGTTGTGCTAACGAGCTCAACTACTACTTCAAAGTAATAGCGAATTGTTGAAGTTTGTTATGCATGAAAAATGAGTACACTTTGTAAGAATTTAGATCTATCACTTACTTGGAAAGGAAGTCTCGCAGTTCCGACGGAAATGAAGCAGGTATTTCTTTCACGTCTCCAAATATTACATCTCCGACAGCCAAAGACAGTACATACAAGTGAAAAAAAAAAAAAAAAAAAAAAAAAAAAGCCTTAAAGTTATAATCTTGATTACTCTCAAGTGGGTTCAGCATCCTCAATGCCTCTTCTATGTTGCAGTGAGTGACGCTAAGCCTAGCGATCATTTTTGTGCGCTTGTTTGCGTGTTTAGTTCAGTTTCTTTTTCTTTTTCTGCTTGGAATTAAACCTAACCCTAACCCAAACCCTAAGCTCCGCCCTTAGTTCTGCTTGGAGCTTCGTACCTGTTTCGCCCCTTCCGTCTCTCTTTGTCATACCCCGAAGAGAAAGCTTTTCCACGCGCAAGGAAAGCGTGTCTTAGATGAATTGTGTCACTCAAAACTGGGGATGAAGCTTCACGTAGCTATTCCTTACCAAACTGTAGACATCTCCTTTCTTTCCATAACGAGAAGTTATTTTGTTGTTTTCGTCTGCAGTGTTACTCTGTGTTTCTTTCACAATCCCGCCATACATTTGGTACAGATCCGACAACCTAAAATATCATTTGAACACAATCAATCTCATGTCTACATTACGGAAACTTCTTAGCTATTGTAACAACAACTAAGCTGTTTCTTTGACGGACGTAAAACTAAACTTATCCAAACTGGGCATCACAGCATCAATTTAACTAGCGTTACTGGGAGCCGAGATAGGCGTGGTTATGCAGGGGGGAGGGGATGCGGAGGAATGGAGCAATGTTAGCCTTGACTTTAACAAAGTGCTCCAATGAATTTAGAATCTTTCGACCCTAAAGACACTTCATCTATAATAATCATTACATACAGGAATAAAAAAAGGAAACTAAGAATGGACCGAAGAAAAAAAAAAACGTTAAAACTAAGATGTTTCTTATGGCAAAAAGAAACGAGAGGTAATATTTCAATTGGTGGGATCCACTGGTAAGTTTTTAGTTAACTGTTCATCATTTGCAGGAATTAAAAAAAAAAAAATATATATATATATATATATATGCGCACCACTTAACTAAAGGCGATTTACATCGAGTTGAACCTTTAGTACAAATAGTCAACAGATCTGCTATGTGAACACGAATTTCATGAAATCTAGCTATTAAAGAACACTCACCTTTTCCCAACACTGTAATCGGCCAGTCGAATATTTCCGTCAGAGTCAAGGCGGCAACTAGATAACTGTGAACGAAACGGAAGGAGTGAATCTAGAGCAACAGGTAATCGCATGGGAAAAAATTTATAATTTCAGGAAGAATGTGTAACGAATTAATAAACAAGCACCTCTCTGTTTCACTCACCCTCAAGTCCTTATGGACCACAGCCCTGCTGTGAAGATAGCACAGGGCTTCCACAAGTTGTTGAGTGTATTCTCGTAGCTGTGCCACAGGCATCCCTCCTTTCCTGAGGTGTAAACTGAGATCGCCGCCACCAACGTATTCCGACAAAACCTAAAGAAAGAAAGGAAAAATAAAAAACTAAATTAATTAACTAACATGGGGAGGAAATAAGGCATAGTTTTGGGAAAATTCACGCCTTGGTAAAAGTTTATATTAAAAAAGTATGGGGATGGCTTGGGTGGGGAAAACTTTTCTAATGGCTGTAGCTACAGTCGAAGCTGTATTAAGCATTCACCTGCGGGGAATGGCGGAATGACCGCCTCATACAAGTTCCACAGAGTGAGGGTCATTACAAAAAGCGGTACACAACGGCACTATGCCAGAATCTCGCTTATAAATACTACTTACTTTTATTTTGGCAGAGAAACATCAAAATTAATCTTAGTTGTGTTCGAGTAATTCCTTTTTTAACGTGCGTTTAATGCGCAACGTCAATTAGAAAACGAATCAAATTTTCCACTCAGGTTAGCCTTTTTCGTTTTTCTTTCAGGTGCCAACACAACTATCTAACGTTTTCATTCGAAAAGGTATATCTTTTGATGGGTTAAATTTTCATCTATCATGCCCATTAAAACGCCCAAAAACGTGGATAGAAGCGAGGGAATGTGACGCTTTTATTCGTCATCGTTTTCAAAAAGCCGCTGTTTCACCTGTTCCAACAAGAAGAGGAGAGTTTCAAAAACGAGTCTTTTTTGAAGTCGTTGTCATGAGCGTTTTTCGGGCGTTTTAGTGTGGATGATAAACAAAAACGCACCAAAACGTATGGGCCGGTTATTTAAACGAGGTTTAGTTCAAACCGCGCTGTTACACAAGGAATGAGCCTCTATAAGAGGGTTGATTTTATTAAATCAATGTCCTTCCCTATTGGCTTTCGGCCCTCTTGACACTGCTCACAAAAATAAATGTTGAGATAAAAAGTTCAGCTTGATTGAAGATAGTTTAGAACGCGGTTTGTAAAAAAACGGTTAAACTTCGTTTATATAATCGGCCCTATGCGTTTGCGAATGAATACTCAAAAGTTTGGATGGGGTCGATATCAAGACCTCTTTATCCGAAGTATACCAAATTAATCCTTTTCCTCGTAATCTTAGGCCGAATAGGCGATATTTCTTTTAAAACAAAGGGTAATAAGATTATAAATTGGGATTTACAATAAATTTAAAATACTATATACTTAAAAATACCTGGACTTTGACAGTGGGAGATTCTTCCTGGACATTAACGGCTAAATAGTGTGTCAGGTTTGGATGACTGACGCGATTGATTAAGGACAAAGTCTCCTGCTCTATACTAAATACCTAAGAGTGAAAACAAAGTATACAAAAATCAGATTTATTTTTAATTTGGCTGGAAATCTGTAATATTGCGTCGTGTGACAATTGTTTTGGAAGGAAATACCCTTTGGCAGGAAATGGAACAACACGAAACAAAAGCAAAAAAAAAAAAACAAACAATACAAACAACAAAATAATCAACAAAACAAAAAAAATTCAGTGGTATAACCCGTTCCCACGTCAGTTGTGTGTTTTAAACTTTTAATTAATCACATAATAAAAACCTGAAGTAGTTGAATTAATAACCAGACCTGTTTCATAAGCCTTGCTTGTGGATCTTGTTGTTGGTTCTCGGTGATACTCAGCGTGCGTCGCATCTGAGGTCCTGCATGAAGTGACGACAAAATCCATTCACACACCACCACAAGATCACCTATGGTAATGTTCATGCCACTGTAAACTTTGGAACCAGATGATCCCTGACCTGAAACAAAAACAAAATAGCATCAACTCACGCTCCTTCCTTGAGAACCTGGAAAGTCTATCTTGCAAGAGTCAGTTGCTTGCATGCGATGTTTTCACCATCTAACTGGTATACCAGCCCTTGAGAAGCACTTCAACTAACAGTGAACTTGGCTTTTTCAACCATACCAACATCTGGGCGTTAATCTAAAACCGATTTCTACAGAATGGATGGCTGCTAGCCAAGACCTTTTTTTAAAATGTCTTTCCGTAGTTGTTCCGCACGCGCCCGTCTTACTCGTGTTTAATGGCGTCCCATGGAGGTTGAAGCATAATTTGTATAGGTAACAACATGATTTTGAGTGCAATGAGGTGTTGATAAGCACGAGTAAATTTTTCAAAGACAACTAAACTGCACGAGCCCGTAGGGCAAGTGCAATTTTTAGTATTTGAAAATAACTACAAGTACTCATTATACCAAACTGCACGAGAAATCATGTTGTTGCTTGTTAATAAGGGAATAACATGACTTTTTTCGGGAATATTGTTTATTTGCGCCCGCGTAGTGTCATTTGCAAATGACACTACAAGGGCGCAAATAAACAATATTCCCGAAAAAAGTCATGTCATTATCATTATTATCAATAAACAAGGCCAAATGCCAAATTCCGCCTGACCTTTTGCTTCTAATTTGTCCAAATCTTCTAGCCCCAAATCTGAGTTTTGACTGCTAATTTCTTCCATTACTTCAGTTTTCGCTCGAAGACGATTCGACGACTGAAAAAACTGCAGTTCAAAACCGGAGTTTCGCAAATGAATGGTTTTCCCGCGTCAACACTAGGCTTACTCTAATTGGTTAAAATCCATCGGATGATGAAGCAAGAACCAATCAGCTGTAGGGCTGATCCGCTGAGCGTGTGTTTTGAAGAGGCCGATTTTCTATTTGGCCGCGTATATTGATAATAATGATGTATAGCAGAAACCCTAACAGAAAATCAAGACAGACAAATTTTGATAGGGCACTCGTGTGACAACTTTGCATTTGTGTTACATGAGAATGTACTCGTTTCAAGCCAATCAGACGCGCGTAATTTTTTCGTTTTCATCATTACAAAAGTTGTAAAATTTAGTCGCCATATGGGATACACGGTAGCGTGATGGTTAGTGCGCTTAACTCCAGGTCGAGAGGTCTGAAATGCTGGGGGTGGACTGGCATCCCATCCAGGGGGGGAGTAGTGATACTCCTAACCGCTTCGCGCGATAGAAACCGGCATACGCTACGGCTGGATAGGCCACTTCGCTCGAGTGCAGACTTCCGTCGTTCAAGAGGGAGAAATATTTGCCTCTCATTCATGACGCACATAACTCATTGCCCTCGGTCCACACGTCATGAATGCGAGCCAAATACTGCAGTTTCCCATCTGGCCCTCCACTTAATCTATAAGGACATACAAGTATTATTTACCAAGGCATTTTCCACAATGCACGATATGTCCCCCTCTGCTGGTGAAGTGGATCACTCGTGTCCCTGTGAAGGATTCATCACCCACACTTTCAGAGCTCCGCCTTCGTCTCATGATATTGTAGCCAGAAGGCCTTTCCTCTGTTTTCTTGGGTGACGGGAAAGCTTGTGTAGGTGCCGTGGTATTCCCAGATTGCTTTCTTTGAACTGGCACTTCCTTTGTTGGACTGGTGTCGGGATCTTTTGTCTTTGCACTCTGAGCCGCTGGATCTGTCTTGGTGTTCTTTTCCTAGAGATTTGATAAAGCGGACATAATCTCAAGCCAAGTGGAGAAATTTTTAATTGAGTGTCCAAAGTAATGCGGGATTGCATCTCATTTACTTTACTTTGCTCTGTGATTGGTCCAGAAAACTCGCGCCACTCTCTCAACCAATCAAATGCAAAACTGACACCAATCACGACTTGGTCGCCCGCGTTTTCCCGCGCTTTAGACGGTTTGCTTATTTTTACTCTGAGTTCTCAAGGACTCTTTAAGGTATTTTCCTTTCTCTTGATTGCTCGTTGTGATTTTTTCTCGGTTTTATAAAACAATAGAAAATTGCTCTAAAATAAAGTTAACTTAATAACAGAATCCTTACTTGAATAACAATAGTTCTTCGTCGTTTGCTTTCTTTCATAGCTTCATCTCTCCTCTGTAGTTCTTCTTCTACTTCACGTTTCTAAAATAAATGTCGATATAATAGAAAATCATTAGCTGAAACACTTGAGTTGATGAAAATTCACCTGATCATTTCTTCCAAGCTTCTTCACCCTTGAACTCCCATGAGCGACCAAGAAAGAATTTCTCCTTACAATATCAATACAAAAGCCAGAAGATGAGTGATGAGAATATATAAAATACAGATTAGGGTATGAATGGTTGATCCAATCTGACAAAATCCTAATATCATAAAAATCATACAGCATAATAAGACCTAACAACATAAAAATTGTGTGACACACAGTGAGGACAATTACTACTGAGATGTTGGAAGTGAAAAAGTTATAGAACCTTCCAGTTGTTATGTTTGTACACCCTTATTGTAAAGAATTGCACATATGCCAAAAACTAATAATACATATAAATCCTATCGCAAATGCAAAATAATCTTTAGCTGATAAAAAGTTTAGGTTTTGGAGAAAAACTGAATGTTTTTTTTTACCTCATTTTCTTCCCGTTCTTTGTTAGCTTCAATTTCCATCTGCAGTCTTTGACGCTCAACAGCTTGGAGTCTCTCCTCCTCTTCACGCTTGTCAGCCATCATTTTATCATAAAATGATAACTGTGGTTTGTTGTGTTGATGAAGACATGTTTGAACATGGTGTGCTAATTGCAGAACCATAACCTGCAAGGCAGTATGTGAGATTTAAGTGAGAAAATTTCACATAATAAATAGATTGAACTTCACCCAATGCCATTGGCACTGAAATTCTAATTAATTTCCACTGAACAATGTACAGCAAAGTAAATGGAAAGAAGCCAAACAGAATGCAAAAAAAAAAAAACTGACCACTAAGAGTCAAATTGTGGAAACTTAAGTATACATAAAAAAACCACAAAAAAAAAACACTCTGAAAGACGCAAAAATGCAACTGACCATCTTGAGCAAAACTATTGCAATTGTGAATTACTTTCCATAAGCCCCTTCAACTTCCAAAATACATATATGTATCTGATTGTAAATTCTCCCCTCTAGCTGCTACACATTTCCTTCTACATGCAAGTAAGTTAAAAGAATTTGGTGTTAGATCAGGATAACTATAAGTTTTAGTATTCTCATTTCCTGTTTGCTGGATAACATACAGATACCATAGGGGGAAGTTACAGGTGGATCCCTTCTAGGAGTTGAAGGGCTACAGTAGCATAAAAAATTTGCTAACTTAATGATGAATGTGTGATTTCCAGTTCATGTGACTAATTCAAGAAAGACTTAAAAAGATACAACTGTAGTTACAGTATGTGACAGCAGTGCTCCAAATTGCAACTGTTTTGGTCACCATGGCAAATGAAAAATATATTTGGTGACTAAACTTTCAACAAAAATCGCCAATCAGTGACCAACTGATTTGAACAAAAATATATGAAAAGAAGAACATGAAAATTTTATCAATCCTAGATCGAATTATCAAATGAACCAATGGAAACCGAAAATGTTCTGTAGCTCCCAAATATGCACAATTCTAAAATGAGCAGTGACCAAGTTGAACAGATTTTTTTGAAATAAAATCCATTTCACATTATTAACATTTAAGTCTAATGTTCAACTTTGCAGTATTAGAAATGTGGTGACTAGATATCAAGTGATTCAAGATGTTATTTACTATATGGAAGGTTTTAATACCAATATTTCTGCTCAGTTCAAATGCAAGATGTTTCTGAGCTGAGCAATAGACTAATATTTTATTGAACACAATTTGTCACTCAGTCTAAGCGACTTTGTAGAAAATCATTTCTGCTTGCAGACATCAGAGTTACTTTATTCTCTCTCTTTCTCTACCATTTTAATTGGCAGGGGAGTAAACATACCACGCTGGCAAATGTAAGAATTGCAATCATACTGTTTGGCTCACTTCCTAATTCATGTATTTGAACATGAAATGTCTTCCCATGGATATCAGGGTTTTGTCTTTTTTTTTTACTTTTTTTTTTTTTTTTTTTTTTTTTTTTTTTTTGGGGGGGGGGGGGGGGGATGGGGGGAATAGGGGAAGTGACCAAAATTATTCCAAAAGGCAACATTTTGAAAAATTGTACTTACAGACTTCACTAAAAAATTTTGCATATATCTATGCTGAAACTGTTTTAATTTATTTTTACACATAATTATAGTAATTTTCATCTATAGTCAGAGAACCCTTCACTTCCTTGTTTTCACAACGATTTAACAAGTATGGGTAATAACTTCCACCTAGCATACATTTGACCTACAACAATGAAGCAACTGTGAGGCACTGAGTACGTTAAACATAAAAGTGCAGTACGTGTATAGCTCACCTCACCAACAAGATCAGCAGCCATTTTGCGAAGCTCAGTTTGAAGCTTATTAACATCTTCCTCTGAAATACCTTCAGCATTGCACATAGACAGCTTTGGACTCCTAAAAATGACACAGAGCAATCCATCATGATACAAGAATCAGCACTACCGGTATGTTACCTTTACTGCCTTCCAAGCCTTCAATGGGTACCTTTTCACTTACCTTTTCGTTCCCAAGATCTAATTGGTAATTCTCCTTACTATCTGCCATACAATTCTGATGATGTTAGTTCAGAGAATTTGGTATTAGATCAACTAATAATCCCATAATTGATATTCTTCTCTATTCTCATCACCTGCCTGCTTGATATTGTATTGATATTGTGAGGAGAAACTCTGTCTTGATCACTTGTGGGAGTGAAAGGGTTAAAAACTTAATGATTCCTACATTTCATATTTTAAATGCTTTGTTCTTGCCCTTTATCTACTTAGGATTGTAAAAAAATTAAAAGGAGTCTGTATACTTGCCGATTAGGATAGTCTGCTGTGTACTGTATGATCAAATCAACTCTGGCATAGACCTCCTTGGCCACAACACTTTGCAATGGAGTCAACTTTAAACAAACCTTTGGAGGTTCATCAGGCTTTTATAGAAAGACAAACACTTTGTTAGTTAATGCAGGGTTTTCATTAAGAAATGTAGTAACACTAGAAGAGTATTAAGTTAAGGGGATGACATATTGAATATCAGCTTCACAGTTGAACAAAAAAGAGCATAAGCTATTGCAACTTAGCCAGAAAATTTAAACCAGTTGCCAGAGACCTCCACTTTTCCTTTGCCAAATGCATTCTCTTGAATTGAAGTGTCTAATAAACCTTGTTCTAGAGGTCTTAGTATTTTCATTCTCATTTATCATTTGAACTCTCTTGGCATAAATTTCTCTAGGTTATTCAAGCTACATGATAAGGAACACTTAACTTTAAAAAAAAAAAAAAATAAAATAAAGAATTATGCTTCTCCTGCAACTTTAGAATAACAGGCAAGTTAAGGTTTTTCACACTAAGTGGACTTAATTCTTTACACCTTAAGATTAGCATGTATATTCTCCATACTGTTCTCTAAACATTTCCCATGACACTGAGGAGGAGAATTAATTCTCATGAGACTAATATTTGCTTTAGCAGTGATACCTAGAGAGAAATTATGTGTCAGTTTAAAAACCCTCTGGGATTAAAGAGTTAAAAAAATGCTCCAAAAATAAGTTAATTGTTATTACTGTTATGGTTGCACGACAAATATGAAAAAACCACAACATGCAGTACACAAATATATTTTGCCCTGCTTATTGCAAAGTAATAATAGTAATAATAATAATAATAATAATAATAATAATAATAACCTCATTATTTCTGTCAAATGCTTTTTTTGTGTAACTCTCACTAGCTTTAAGAGATTGCCAAGAAGTAGAAAAAAATAGAGGTGAGCCTGAGAGATAAAGCATGATGGAGACATACAGCCAGGCTGCTAAGCAAGATTGAAAATAGCGGCAACCACAATTGATTTGTCAGCACATTTGAAGAGGAAATGAGGTCTGAGCTTCATTACCTCCACATATAGTGTTTTAAAAAGGGGCATTTTGAAAATACTAGTCTTTAAGACTATTGTGATGGCCTAACACACACTGTAAGTGTGACACACTGCATCAAATTCCCTAATGAAGGTGTCTTGAAATCCCTTCTAAGGTGTCTTGATAGCTCTTCTATTCATTATACTCTCTAATCTTGGAAGTTGACACAGTTTGATCTATGTTCCAGGCGAATTCCTATGTTTTTTTAAAATGTTTAGCCTGAACTACCATGTGGATCATCGGTATGATTATAGGCAAGATCGTAAATAGCTCCCTAACGCTTATGGCAAGTTCTCAAGACTTCCACCCAACTCAATTAAGTTAATTGTTTAATATATAAATTACCTCTTCTCTCAAATCTTGGAAGTCGTCCATGTAAATAGCTTGAAGAGCTTGAAGCTCCTCTTCTTGTCGTTCGATGCAACTTTCCTCCATTTCAAACGCGTTAAAAATCCTGTAGAGTAGAGAGTTTTTTCGATATAACCTCCTCAAATGCCCAATATCATTTAAGTTAAATTTCCTTTAGACGAACATATTCGCGGATGTGCATTTCGCACTGTGCGGTATTTGACCAAAACTTCCGATCTCCGTCGCCAAAAAAATGACTATTCAAAGAAATATTCTGTTTGATACTTCTTGTTTCCCTTTCTTTCATCACAGCTTCAAAATTTACCCCTGCTTCAAGCGCTTGCGAAGCAATAACAATGAACAATAATCAATTTGAAATCGATAGTGCACACACGTTGTCAACCATGTTTACGTTCGATCCGAAAGGATCTGGTTACGAGATTTATTTTGACCAATGAGAACCTACTTTACATTTCCAATCACATGACAGGAGCGTGTCCTCCGAGAAAAATGTTTATTTTTATATTGCTTTCCAGGAAAAAGTTAAAGTTCAACCTATCAATGTTTTATAAATTTCAATCATTGATAATTTTCGAAATACTTATTTAACAAAATGGCTCTTAAGGTAAGAAGAATTTTTTAACAAAGTGCGTTTTGTTCTGTTTTCATAATTTCTTTTTTTTGCTGTCATGTTTGTTTTTTTTATTCTAAGTCGAATCTTACATGTCTCATGATTGGCCGTTTATGGTAATAACAGTTAGGCAATTAATTCACATGAGACGCAGACTTAGATATACCTCCTTTGCGAAAATAATCAGTAGTTCTCCAGCATGCAAGGTCGGATACTTTAGAAATTTACATCGAGAATGGCAGACTCTAGCGGCAATCAGCTGTGTTTCGCGCGCGCGTGAATGTATCCCTGTGCATGGATACGAGATCTGCGCGTGCTATTTTCCAGCAGTTAGTGAGACGAGGAAATATGTCAACCTTCTACCATTAAAGATAAATTCGTCATCTCCAAGGTATGTCTTGTTCTCGTTGTGTAAAGTGGGGGTTCACCTTTGCCGACTGAAACACTTCAGAACACTTTAATTTACGTAAACTTTCGAAGACATTTCGCAACTTGAGGTAACGTAAATCAGATTGTTGCGCCGGGAGGCACAGTAATCCTCACGTCAATGGCTGAATTTTTTTTGGCAGGCTTATTTTCTGCAATTTCTTTGATTACAGTTCTCTTTGGAGAATCGTTTCTGAACTAAAAGTATTGTAAGCGAACTGAAGGCAAGATTTACGCGCAACCACACTTCATTAAGCCCATAATGAATCTTTGAAAACATTAGCGAAAACGGCAGACTGTCCTAACTTTAATTACGACTCTCTTGAAATCTTTTAGAATTGAATAAAATTATTTCTAGATCGTACAAGCTATTTCTCCAACATGAGTCGTTCTTTTTGAAGAACAATGAGCTTGGTATAACAGAGATAAATTATGACGATCGCTGGGGAATTATTACTGCCCATGTCAATTCACTCAGCCAAAGGAATCGTAATCAATTATTAACTACTGTATTTATGTGAGTTATTGATCGTAATGCGTTACTGACCAAGCTTGAAAGCTTGAGATCAAGGTCGCTGGAACATTTACATCAGTTAGGATGTAATACATAGAGTTAGCCATACAAGCCTAAAAACGGAGCTCTTGTTCGTTTATTTTTCAGCCCTTCATTATAATAAAAACTGTATTCATTTAATTCAGTAACCTCTGCTGTAGCTGCATATGAAGTAGGTGTCTGCATACCAACTGTCCATGATCTTAGCAACTCTAGCTACTGATATACAAAATTTGCCTACCATGCTTCTTGCTCTGCGAAAGTTTGATGTAAAGGAGATAACCTAGAACTAGAATATCATAATTAATTGAACTTGATGACAAAGAGAGACTTTAAATTCAACCATGAAGACATTTGTAAGGGAAATTAATTCCAAACATCAATCAAGTTTTCTCTTTAATCTAAAAGTTGAGTTGATGTTGTTATTGGCTATATTAAATAAGTTGAAAACTTTAAGATGGTATACCCATGTTTGCAAATAATTGAATTTACTGGAAGGTGGAGTGGTTGTACGTAACATGTTAACATGAAACACAAAAATAAATGTTATTAATATTTAAAAAGTTTTCATGTGACCATCTACTGGCAAGTCTTTGTATTATATTTCAACCCACAATTAGTAAGGGAAATGGAAAATTTGTGGCATATGCACCATGTTTGAAATGCCATGCCCGTAATAAGTTAACAGGATGGAGGGTGTATGCGGGAATAGGCTCTCTTGTCTGTACCATTAATTTGCTAATCTCTCCTGTTGCCAATATTTTGATAAAGTTGGGCTGTCACGGCAAAGGAACTGAGGATTTTAGTAGGCAGTGACTTTTTACAAACCCGGAAACTATCACTGTGAAAAGCCATACTTGTACCTGGTAACTCATTCTTATTCTGATAAATATTTTAAGAAGGATACAATATTTTATTAAATAAATTTGATGCATAGGCTGTGCACAAAACTTTAATTTGACTATACTTTTAGAGCCAGTACCAGTACCAGTCTCTGCACATAATAAAATATTAGGGGATCAGAGGAATAAATAATGTGCCATATATATATATATATATGCAAGATTTCATGTAATTATTTAATTACATGTCTTGAATATTAACTGATACCAGGAGATGTAAGATTCAAAAGAAGCTAAAATTTGGTGGAAAAATTAGAATTCAGTATAGGCTGGATAAACAAGATTCTTAGAAAAAGAAATGTGTACTAATGAAAAAGCTAAGCAAACTTTTTTACAACACCAGGCTGTACCTATATGGTATGTAGTAAAGTCATTTGAAGTAGTCATAATCCTGGTTTTAAATTTGAAAACACATACGCATGCAGATTTCTTAGAAATCTGTAGTTCAAGTCTGCAATGACTCATAATTTTAATGCACAGCTCAAAAGGAGAACAAATGAATTTCAAGTTTCTATTTATTCTATCTATTCTAAGTTATTGAGGTAAAGTTGACTCAAACAGTAATACAATGACAGGTTTAAGAAATTTTCACAACTAATTTATAAGGCTAGCCTACCTGTAACAATAACCTTCATGTACAAATTAGACCAGGTTTGTACTGATCAATAATGGGAAAAAATCACTGTTTTATGAGAAACTCAGTAATGATCAAAAATTGGTGGCAAATCACAGCCCTGGGTCTGCCTTTAATTTTAAACTTAAGAGTGTACTATAAATTAAAATAGAAATTTGCTCATGCACAAAAGAACTATCTGTGGTAAGAGGGCAGGCTTTCTTTTCTCCAGTTAAAAAAAAATACTAAGATTATCATCTTTCCTCAAGCTCAGAGGTCAGCGACAGTGAATGACACTGATAGTGACTATGTTATTTGAATAAATATCCAGAGGAGGATAAAAAGTAAGATATGGTCTGCACAACTCTCTTATTTTAATTTTTAACCTATAAAGCACAGAGGCATTTATACTCTTGCTTTGTGCAGTTTGTGGTCACATATCTTGTAAACAAATCCTTACAACAATGTTTAGTTTGGGTATGAGCTTTGGTGAGAAACACCATGCATGCATGCACCACTGAAAGCTTGAGCAAGAGTATTTAATGT